AGCACGAGGATCTCTGCTCGCAGCCCCGGCCATGGAGGAGCAAAGGGGAACCTTTGCTGGCCTTTCATGACGAAACATCTGTCTTTCCCTGTTAGCAGAAGAAAATTATTTCTTCTGTGTACAGGCAAGAGGAATTTGTCCCAAGAGCAATTTCTGCCACTATCATTTAAACGTCCACATTAGACTCCAGTGTAGACTTTATACTTTGGTACTTCTGAAAGACCCAAAGTGCCTCATAGTGCTCAGGAGCTGATGTTTCTCACTTACTGAGTGCCCTGACCTCTGAAGGTGACTCAGGTGGGCCACACAAGCATGGAAGCACTCTAGTCATCAGTTGTTGCTGGAAATCTTGGCCACCGAGCCTCCTTGGTAACGTGAAACAGAGCCAACCCAGCCATGCAGAACACCCAGACACTGATCTGGTGAGGGGAGACTCCATTTCTACATGCGGTTTAAAATTGATACCCCCAGGAGGCATGTTAGAAAGCAAAACATTGATGCTGTCTTCACTGGAAGCATCAGTTGCTTTGTTTTTTTAATGACACAGAAAGCTGCCTGCAAAGAGATAATTTCATTCAGCCTTTGCTGGATGGGGAAGGAAGTCCTTGGAGGTGACTCTGCAGCGTATCCAGTATGCCACCTAGCCCTTACTAGCTCTACTGCACTCCCCACTGCAGCGCTGCCGCTCCGTTAGCTGCACGTGGCTGCTGGAGAGCCGCTTCCACCACCGTGGAGAGCCCGGCCCTCGGGACACTGTCCAGGGAAGCAGCCAATGGCTTGGGAAGAAGCCACATTTCACCCCAACGCTAAGTGTCAATAGCTGCTGTTCTGTCTTCCTTTGCGGCGCTCCCGTCCAGGTGGCCTCTCAGATTTGCCCAGTCAGTTCCAATTTTGCTCYGTGTCATTTTTCCCTCTGGGATGATGGATGAAATACTGGTGTTTTTCATAATGATGTTTCAGTCCCAGGCACCTGATTTCACCACCTGTTGGTGTTTTTTAATACTTGCATGCAAATATACTTGTGTGTGTGCGCATTTTCTTGTAAAAATACTATTTTCCTAACAAGTTTCAGATCTACACAAACTGGACAATTGTTCTGGAGCAATGAAAAAAAAAAAATCACGGGTATATCTGTACTTCAGCTCTTAATCTTTTCAGATTGCCTGAATTTGTTTGATGTTCCAAGTGACTCCAAAACACACAGATTAGCCCCAACTGATTAAAGCATATGTTCCATCCTCTTTATCAAGCCCAGGAAAGTCGGTGCTTTTGCGCATTAGAGACTAGTATCATAATGAGGTGCGATGTATCTGAGATGCAAAGAACGGTAACTGCTTTCCAAATAATTACTTCTCTTTCTGCAACAAAGAACCATATGTTACACATGGAGTCTGTAGAAATGAGTTACGTTAGAAGACACTAATAGAAACCTTGGTTTCATCTGAATGCTCTCTGTTCACTCCCCCCAAGTAAGAAAGCGTGTCTTATAAACATAAAACATTATTGTGATCTCCCCTGGAAGAGCACAAGCCAAGAGAAAWATGATCCTGGTTAGGTGTAGTTTCTCCTGTAGCTCATGAGCAGTCATATGTTACACGCTGTCCTGTTGCTGTTTCTTTACCAGGGTGATGTTTTTTGGAGTGCTGGCAAAAGATGCCAGCGAGGCAGCCCCCATGAGGGGCACGGATGGCATATGCCAAGCAGTCATGTGCAGCTCCATCCCAACTGCCAGGGAAGCTGTTTGGGACTTGCAGTAGCCCCAGGAGCCTTGTGACAGAGGCTACTTTTATAGTTTTGGAGAAAAAAAAATGGGGGAGGAAATGGAGGAGCTGCACAGACGCATCTCGTGGGTAAAACTTGCGCATCTCATGGCTGAAGACCAGTTTCCAGGCACAGTTTCCTGTGTGACAAGCCCAGCACAGCCTCACGGTGCAACAGGGAAACGACGGCTGCAACACGCACAGGCACCGTCTTGATTCTGGCCTACTCTTAAAGTCCTAAAAAAAGTTCCTGGAGAAGCCCTGAGTTAGAGCAGCTTCCACAGGGATCCCTCATGGGATCACTGCCCTTGGGCACTCCAGCCTTGCCCAAGCCTCCCGTGCCAGAGCTTGCAGCTGGGCCCCGTGGAGGCAGTTCTCTACATGCCTCTCCATTTGTGCCTCACGGACAGCTTGGAGTGGGAGTAAAACCTCCCCTTCAGCCCTCTGGATACTCTTGCTGTCTTTGTACCAGTTACAGGGCACGCGATTTCTTAACTTATTAACTTTCCTTCTCAGGAAGTACTTCCATATCTCCAAAGGAGAAAAGCAAAGCACGCTTCAGACCAGTGGCAGGTTCTTACAAAAAGCAAGGCAGGATGCAGGCTGTGTGTTGGTAGAGTTGGAGACATCAGCTAGAGAAACCGTTTTAGAATATTTCCAGATAATATTCTAGGGGGTTGCTTTCTCTTAGGGGGCTTATTTTGGGGCACTTAGCTATGAGCTAAGCAGAGAGGTAAGCAGTATCAAATAAAGACCCCGAGAGAAAAGAAGAAACTTAAAAAAAAATGTGGTTTTCAATAAAAAGGAAAAGAGAAAAAAAGGAAAAAAAGAAAAAAAAAAGAAAAAAAAAAAAAGAGGGAGTTCAGCTGTGCCCCAGAATCCACGTGGGGTGGGTAGGGAGTAAAACAAGGAACATTTGAAATGCACAAAAAAAAAGCCTTACGAGAGAAAATGTTGGCAAAGAAGGAGTTAATGCTTTTAAGCAACCACCCGTCCTCTTACCATAGATAAGGGTGCATTCTAGTGGCAAAATCCATGCAATGCAGCTGCATAGATGAGTGATCTAAAAAAGAAACCTGAGGAATAGGCGGCTTTGGAGGAGTGTGTGCCTGTGTGGAAGCGGGGGGGAGGCTGACTTGAACTGCRTGTAAACCTCCCCCAGAACCGTCGGATCCCTTTGAGCTTCCCAGTGCCCGGGCAGCGCGGGCTGCGCGGCCGCGGAGCGGGCTCCGAGCCCGCGGCGCTGCCGCTCCGCCCCGCGCGGCTGCTCGTGCCGGCTGCTCCAGGTGCAGAGCCGCCCGCGGCGGCCGCAGGGCTGCACCAGGAGGTTGGGGAGATTCCCTGCTCCTCGCTTCCAGCTTCCCGGTTCCTAGCARTGAATGAGCACTGAGGGAGGCAAGTGCGAAGGACCACATCCCGTCTGCAGCCCTTAGGAATGCAGCTGCGAAACAAAAGGCGACAAACCCCGAACTGTCCAGGACAGAGGATGAGCGCTGCAAAGTCTATGGGTTTTTCCTTCCTTCTCCCCCACTCCGTGCAGGGCAAGAGGCAGAGAAAGAAAGAGCTAAAACATGCAAACCGGACTTTGCGTGGCAAAATTCCCCTTGTTTTCTGGCATGCCCTGAGCAGCAGCGGACTTTCCCCAGCAGGAACGGAGCGCGGTGCTCGCCAGCCGCGCAGCGCCGGCTCTGGGGGGCTGCGCTAGCCCCGCTGTGGGGGCCGCGGGGGGCACCCAGTGCCGCGCGGCGGCTGCCGAGGGGCGCGGGGCAGAGCCCGCCGGGGCAGCCCCGGGCCGGGCAGCGAGGCCCCGGGCCGGGCAGCAAGGCCCCGGGCCCCTTGCAGCCGCCGCCGGCTCCTCGCACCTCCGGCCGCGGCCCCGCGGTCAGGCCCCGCCAGCGCAGCCCCACCGCGGAGCCCCGACCTCTCCCTGCAGCCCCATCGCAACCTTCCCTTCCCAAACCGTGAAGATCTCAACTTTTTTATTATTTTTTTTTTCTCTCTTCGCTCCCCATCCTCGGCTTCCCCTCTCCTCCTCCCCCCTCCTTGTCTCTCCTCATAATATTATCCTTGATCGCTGCCCGGGGTTTGAAGCCCAGAAGTCAGGAGCTGCGCTCCCCACCCCCACGGGCTCGGGCGCGCACTGATAGGGCCCTACTTGCTGGCACCTAGTCAAGCTGAGGTGTCATTGGGATCTCAAATTGCAGCGAGGGGCTGGCAGGCAGCCAGGGGCAGTCTATTTAAAAGACAGCCTGTTCTGCAGTATTCAGTCTCTTTAGAAACTTCTCCAGGGGAAAAGTGTTGGGAGATCTACAAAGTGGATTTTTTTTTCCTCTCTTTTCCTTTTTTTTTCTCTTTTTTTTTTTTAACCGCTCCTCTGCAGACTTTGCAACAAAATACTCCAACTTTGCAGAAAACTTTTTTCCTTTTTTTTTTGGGCCATTTTTGGCCTTTTTTTTTTTTTTTTTTTTCCTTCGCAAACCTTGGAAGAGGAAGGCGGGAGGGTTGAACAGAGCCGACCGAAACACAACTTTGCTTCGTCCCCAGCTCCAGCTGGGGCTGCGTCGGGAGCGGCTTTTCCTCCTCCTGCAGAAGAAGGGGGCGGGCAGGGGAGCTTCGCATCCCCGATCCCCTCTCCTGCCTCCCGCCCGCTTCCCCGCTCCTGGCTGCTTCCATGCATTAACATAGCAGGACACTGGTTTTCAAGGAACTTTGCTCCCTCCTCAGCCTGCCTCCTCCCTGCCCTTTGGGGAGTGTGAGTGTGAGTGCGAGTGGGTGAAACTGCCATCCCTCCCCCCCCTAAACCTCACGCCTCCCCCTGCAACCTGTTGCTGCCCCTTCTCCCTCTCCCCCCCGCTCCTTCCCTCCCCCTCGCTTTCTGCCCTCCCGCCCATCGCGGTGGGATTTGCCCCCTTTTGAGGCATTAAAAGAAAAAAAAAAAAGACCTGAAAGAAGGAAAAAAAAAAAAAAAAGACAAAAGCAAACCTAGACACCCCCCCCGCCCAAAGCCGCCGAGAGCAGGAGGGTCTCGCTCACCGAGAATAAACCTGAGCGCGGGGCGCTCGCCGGCGGGGGCTCTGCTTTCCGCCCCTCCGCCTCCCTTCCTGCTTGCTTTTTTGTCCAGTTTTCGCTTTTTTTGAAATTTTCTGAAGGAGAGACCTCCAGAAAAAAAAAAAAAAAGAAAAGAAAGAAGGGAGAAGGAGCAGCGCAGAGCGAGCGGCCGCCCCCGCGCCGCGCGGCGCAGCATCCCCGCCGCGATGCTGCTGCGGCTCGTGGTGCTGCTGGGCGCCTGCCCGGGGCTCTCGCGCTGCCTCGGCTCCTTCGTGCAGTGCGAGCCGTGCGACGGCAAGGCGCTCTCGCTGTGCCCGCCGCCGCCGCTGGGCTGCGAGCTCGTCAAGGAGCCGGGCTGCGGCTGCTGCCTCACGTGCGCGCTGCCCGCCGGGCAGCCCTGCGGCGTCTACACGGAGCGCTGCGCGCGCGGGCTGCGCTGCCTGCCGCGCCAGGGCGAGGAGAAGCCGCTGCACGCGCTGCTGCACGGCACCGCCGTCTGCCTCAGCGAGAAGAGCTACCGCGAGCAGGCCAAGACGGGTGAGTGGCGGCCCCGCAGCGGGCACCTTCCTTCCTTCTTTCCTTGCTTCCCGCCGCCCTTCCCGCCTTCCCGGCGCGCTCCCAGCTCGGCGCCTGCTTTCCCGTCTCTCGCGCGCGCCGCTGCTTTTGCCTCTTCCCCGCCGCTCTCCGCCCTGCCGCCCCTCGCCCGGCTGCTCTGCCATGCCTGCCGTGGCTTGTGTCATCTTTCCGGATCCCTTCCCGTCTTTCCGGCTGCGTTTCCACCCCCCACAGCTCCCGCCACTGTTCCATGCCCGCTGGCTGCTTTCCGGGTGCTCTTCCSCATCCCTCTCCCCTCCCCCAGCTGATTTTCCGTCTTTCCCGATGCATTTCCACCCCTCATCGCCCCATCTCAGTTTCCATCTTTCCCGATGCTCTTCCATGCCCCTGGCAGTTTCCCCAGCCCATCCCTGCATCCCTGCCCTGGCCGTTCCTCCTGTTGCATCAGTCAGCAGCCCTTTCCCATCACCTCCCTTCCCATGCCTGCCTTGCCGCATCCCACACGGAAAGCTTCACCCCCTCACCCCGCACTCCCCGGATGAACCTTTTAGTCCCAGCTGCATCCCAGCCCCATCCCCCCACRTTGCATCCTTTTAATCCCTGCTGCATCCCCCCCTCCCAAATTGCCTCCTTTTTGTCTCTCCTGTATCCCTACGTCCCCACCCAGTCCCTGATCCCTGACTCCTTTCTCTGCCCATACCCTCCGCCTCGCTCTGGGGACCAAGCTGGACTTTGCAGCGTGAGATAAAAGGGAGCTTTCCCTGCAGGGCCCCCCCTTTGCAGCCCTCTGCCCTGTCCCCAAGACCTCAGCCAGCCCCGGGATTTGTTGCTGGCAAATCCAGCCTCCCGCTTTCTCCTTGTGGCTGTCACAGCCCGCTGCTTTTCCCGGCTGGTTGCTGCTGGAGGTCTTTGTTGGGCAATGGATTTTAACCCTGGGAGGGGAAGAGAGCAGGTGCACTGGGGACAGGGAAGCCATGAGTGCAGAGATAATGAAGATGATGACAATCCACAAGAATATCCCAAAAGCCAGCAGGAAGGCTGGCCTGGTAGCACTGCAGCGAAGTGAAGATTGGGAAATCTTTGCACCTTTCACGTGACAAAAGCGTGAAAGAAAGCGCTCCTTCACTTGGGCGTTTGCTTAGCTCCCGTTTCTGCATCCTGTGAGGTTTGGAAGGATGCAGTCACTCTGCTTCTTCAAATACTTCTGGATTTCTGTCCCCATAAAAAGGGGAGGCTGGGAAGATGTCTCTGTGTCGGGGAAGCAGGGGAACTGATTTGAAAAAGCACCCCACTTTTTCTTCCTTTTTCAAGGAAAAAGTCATTTTTGCTTGTTAGCAAGCTCCTGCTTATMCTGGCGCAGTGGGAATCCGTTTCTCCTTTCCAACACCTAATAAATCTTGCTGCTTTTACTATTTTTCCTCTTTGCTGCTTGCAGGCAGTGGTCATGTTGTTATGTTTTATCCTGTAGAGCAAAACCAAATTCTGTGTCTGCATATATATATGTATGTGTGTGTGTGTGTGTGTGTGTGTATCACTTCTCCTCCTCCAAATGACAAAGTGGGTCCAACCTCTTTTAAATCTATCCAGAAACAACAAAGCTGAGCTTAGTCTGCTGAAAGGGAGCTGGAAGGGCTAAAAGTTTGGAGGGAAACCTGTGCAGGCTACCACGGGGTGTAGACGGTGAGACAGGAGCTGCCTTCCTGCGTTGGAGCCCAGCACGCTCTGCAATAACYCGCAGCAGAACTATGCCAAGTATCCCCGGGCGCATCCCCGCGGCGTTTAGTGACCCTGCGTGTGTGTGTGAGCACTCAGGAGCCTGGCAGCGTGGGGGAAAGTTGCTTGTGCTGCTAAAATGCAGCGGCTGCTGGGAGAGCTCGGCCACGAGGGAGCCCCATGCAGACAGAGCCCCGGCCTTGGCTCCCAGTGGGAATCTCCTTTGGTTCCACCTGCCCCGCTCTTCCTCAGGAATCTGGTTCTTTGGCAGGTGCCTTGGGTGAATCTTTTGGCTGGTCCCCTCAAAACCAGTTGGCTTTTGGTTATCTTGGGATAGTGAGCATTCTTTGGGTGGCTAAGGAGAGGAATAGGAAAGAGGTTGCAGGGTTTCTGCGCACCCGAACTCCCAAGAGCACCTGCCTTTCCAGCTTGGACTCCCCAAGCGCCGCAGGGGGCTCTTTTCAACGGGTTTGTCTGCAGCTGGGAAGGCTTTTGCAGGAAGCCCTGAGAGACCAGTGGGCTTCTCTGGTGATTTGTTAGATTGCAAAAAGAAATAAAAAACAAATCAGGAATTCCTGAGGATGGGAGAAGGAAAAACTCTCTTGGCATTTGGCTGGTAGCGTTTAAGAACAAAGTATATTTTCATAGGCATGTTACTAGGCAACGGGGCAAGGAAAGAAATGAAGTTTGACTTGAACTTTCTGGCCTCTGCCAGCTTGGCCAGCAACGCAGGGACTGTGTGCTGAGGAAGCTGGCCTGGCCGTACAATCTATCAATGACCAAAATTGGCCCGAAGCTGGGAACCGCTGAGAAAGAATCAGCACTCTGCAAAATAAACTGTGTGACAGTGGCAAGGCCCGAGATCAAACTGCATTTCTCTCTGTTTCTGCTCCTGCACTGGCTCGGTTTGAAGCACAGATGCTTTCCTCCTCAGAGCCGTGATGAGGATGCAATAAGCAGCAATGCAAGAGAGCCCAGGGCTGGGAGGCCAGACTTGGCTTCCTTGCAGGCCAGCTGTTTTATGTGGTGCCTCCAGGCACCGTGCCTCAGTTTCCCCATCTGCAAATTGRGCATGCACCTATTGAGAAATGCTGGAGCTGCTGTGCAAGATGTGCTCCTGGCTTGTGAAGAGGTCAGAAATGAAAACAAATTCAGGGTTTAAAAGGCTTTGGCCTTGCTCACTTTAGGTGGACTGATGTGTAGGTATCCACAGGGTGGTTCCTGTGTTCTTAAAGGACACAATAGACATACTGTCTTTTACCAAAAGCCAAACTTCACTGCTGCAGTTGACATTCCTGGTAAAAACCATGAATGAGCTACATTTATGGCACAGTCTTCAGGATTCTGTGTGTTTTGGGGATTTTTTGTTTTGTTTAAGTTTTGTTTGAAATAGACCACGTCTTTCCATCTTTCTTGCCCGTGCCCCGCCAGACTTCCTCCTGCTGAGACAGCAAGGTCAGGCTGAGCTCTGCGAGGAGAGGAGGGCACAAGCTCGAGCCTGCTGCCCTACAAAGGCGCATGGAAAAACAAAGGTTGTCAAATATTTCCTTCTTTCCTCTCATTCCTGCTCTCTTTCTAGAAAGCAAGCAAGACTTGGCAAGTTTCCTCGTGAAACCATGAGCCAAYGATAACCAGAAGGGAAGGAGGGGGGCACAGAATTAGCGCTAAGAAAATCGTCTCTGCTGCGTCAGCTGGAAGTAGGCGGAGGAGAAGTGCTGAGGGAGCCCAAGTTTCCTGCTTCTCATGTTCAGTGCAGTTCTTTATCGTTGCCTGGCATGTTCTCGCCGCTCTCTTTCTCTCTCTCATCACTCCCGCTCCCTGGCTGTCTGGGCGCGTGCGGCGCGGGCCGGGTTTTACAGGCACGGAGCAGCTGGGGGATGGTGTCTGGGACATGGAGGGGCAGGTGGGCAGCCCCGCGCCAAGGCCAGGGCAGGGGCCGTGGGAGCAGGACACGATGCACGCATCGGCCCGCAGGCACGTGGTGCTCGGGGAAAGATCCAGCCGGTGACGGGCAGCGAGTCTTTGTGTGGCACGTAGCAGAGCTACGGAGAGCTGCCGAGCTGTCCAGGTGAAAGCTGGGAGTGACTGGCCTGCAAAGCCGCGCATCCAAAACAGGAAAAACTCCATTTTTTCTTTTGATCTGAAGTTTCAAGAACAAGAAAAAAAATAATAAAAAAAGATGGTGAAATCTATCAGGTGCAAGAAAGTTGGCTTTCTGTGATGTTTGTCTACGGGGGAGGGAGGGATGGAGTGGTTCAAACAGGAAAGGAGGGGCCTTGGCTGGAAAGATTTTTCAGCAGCCTGGTTTCTAAGGAAGAAGCAAGAATATTAAGCAGTTGATCCAAATGAAATTCTTGCCTGGTGCTAGCAGAGTTCACTGGAGAAAAGACGTGGCTCTGTGCGTGTGTGCATGCGTGACAGACCAGATCCTGACCACATGAGCACCGCTGTAAAGCTGGACTCACTCCAGGTAAACCAAGGGAGSCCTTCCAGAGTTTGTAGACTGTAACTGAGAACAGAGGCTGACCTTAAATGGGAGCCTCAGCAAGTCTGAGGGGTGGATGCTGCAGGAAGCCCGTGCGCCTGCTCCTGTCGGTATTTAAGCGCAAGCATCCTGTGCTCGGATGACTGTTGTGGCTTTGGCCTTTCAATCACAGGAATACAGTTGCGTGTGACTGGAAGCATTTGCATGTCTGAGGTGTGAGTTGTCCCATCCCATCAGAATCAGAAGAAAAGGGTACGAGAGCTTGGGTAGTTTCAGTGCAAGCTGGCTTCAGGATACCCCCAACTCGCTTCTGTTGCCAAGTTTGGCATGTGTAAGTCAGTACAGCCAGGGAGGGAAGAGAGGAGAGGTGACGAACAGGCTGCATCCCTGTTCCTGGCAGCCTGTGCACATAGCACAGTGCTCTGCTTCCTCCTAACGTCCACTGGAAGTGTTACTCTCGCTCAATCAAAAGGCTTCTCATGCTTTTCAGTTGTGAGCATGCCCAACTGCATCCATAGGAGCAGCTGCAGGAATTGCTACGGTGGCTGTGGTTCCAGTGCTCCCATCCAAACTGTAAGAGCTGGGAGCAGCCTGGGAAGGGGAGGAGGAAGACTCGACCTCCACTGGGCTTGTTCCTCCTCTGCTTACTGGGATGAGCTGCTGATATTTGCAGCTCATTTCACCTGTGCTSTGTCACAGAGCAGATCTGATCTGTCTTCTACCAAGCACTTAGTAGTGCAAATTCAAGGTCAGACATAAATACAACTGGAATTTGTCTGGAACA